ACGGTGGGGTGTGGGAAGCTGGGGAGAGATAGCAAGGGGAGAAATGCCAGATGTAGGTGATGGGGAGGAAGGCAGCAAATCACACTGCCACGTGTGTTCCTATGCAACAATTTTGCAGGTTCTTCACATGTACCCCAAAACCTAAAATGCAATAAAATAAATAAATGGGGAAAAAAAATTTAACTTGCTACCAATATTTTTTCACACAAATATTTTGAATATTTTCTTTGATTTTCTGATACTTCAGCAGATTGTTTTACTTTCTATTCCAATTAATAATTTGCATATGATTTTCAAAGTATATTTTTTAGGAATATTTACTTTAGACTAGATATATAGTGCTATAGCATTGGCATGAATAACATTTCAATGTTAAAATTCTTTTACAATAAACTAAATTTCCCCTATCTTTACCTACTCATTTTTAAGTATAACTAAAGCATTAGCAAACATTGAATCTCCCTTATCTCATCGTAGCATTTCACACAAACATTATCTCTTGCTATGACAAGTTTTTTAATTTCATTTCAGCTTTCAAGTACTTAGAGAATGGTTATAAAACTATAAATTTAAATTAATTTAGTAAATGGTTTACTACAACTTAAAAGCATTATGTCTGTAACAGTTTATCCTATTTAGTAGATATGTGGTCTTATAAAACTATAGTTTTTCAAGATGTTTATATTTCTAACATATACTAATAAATTTATCCTTCTGATTTTATTTTTTATTAAAGAGAGAGCTCAAGTATTAATAGACTCATATTTCACATGTGAAAGAACATATACCAGGAGATTAACTGTTTTAGGAAATTTGGGAGATACTTGGTAGTAAATTATTTTGTTTATGAAAACATATCATCTATAAAATAAGCATTGATTTTCTAAGCGATTTAGATTTCTATGTATGTAAGGCTGCATTGGCAGAAGATATAGTTAAATAAAAAACACATCTTTGTATTTTGTTCTTTATACTCACTCTTTGAGGAAGACATTATTGGTATAATCTGAGGTGTAAGAAAAATAACTTCTTGATACCAGCTAACATCCAATTTAAGTAACACAGCATCTGATTTTTTTCTCCAAAGATCTATACCTTTGGGAGCAGTAAGAGAAAATCTTTTTCCTAGGGCAAATTCAAAATTAGAAAGTTCTCAGAGAAAGGAAGACTTCTGTTTGATCTCCATCATATCCCTCCAAAACAAATGAGCCCTGGGAACATCCTTTAAGAGGGAAGAGCAGTGGACTTAGGCCAAGCCCTTCCACAATTGAGTTTTCAAAATCTTGTGTTTGGTGACAGTTATTGATCATATTTTTCTATGTAATTCCTTCACCTCGTCTAGTGACTCTAGTTTCTGATTTCTCCTTTCTGATCTTTCAGCTAGCTCTGAGAAGGAGTTTCTAGCTCCATTTGCACTTCCATTTCCATTTGTTCCTCTTTCTTACACACTGGCCAGATGCTTGAAGTATGATTCTTTATTCTTGCACTGGGTCACCTGACTATACCCACTCTCTAATTATTTAGCCTTAACCTCAGTGAAGGTAGGTCTAATAATGATATTTATAAATATACATTTAAAATTTCTGATAACCCAGTCTTACCAATTGCTGTCTCTTTACCATATCCATGGGCTGCGGTCAGTTTTGTTAAAAGACTGTGGTCAAAAGCTATTTTTTAATAGAGACATTTTTACCAAGGAAAGTCATTTCTAGTGCTAATGGAGTTCAGACGAGTTCAAATTTGCTTAGGAGGCAGATTTGTCCTCCTTGGACATACAATATGCTGAGCCCAACCCTGGAAGTAGCACTACGTCCTTGGGCAAAATAAAAGTTCTGCCAAGACCCTGACAGTATTAAGTAATTCCTCTATTGGCATCCTCCTTCCAAATGCATTAAGACATTAAAGGCCAATACATTAAGTCACTTGCACCTTAGTGTGAATCAATTTATCAGAATGTTTTTCTCCTGAAAGGACTGAGGGTGCAAGTGATGAACGGACAAGAAGGGAAAAAGAAATGCTGAGAAAAATGTAGCCTGTACAGAGGAGAGATGCCCTAAAGATTAACTACTCCAACCTTATTTTTCACTATGTAATTTTCTATTACTCATTGCATAGCAAAGAGAATGAAGAAACCAAAACCACCGGTTATCTTTACCGTAAATCCAGGTATGCATAAACATCTCGAGCCAGGTTCATTTTCCATGCACAGTTCATGAACACATGAGTTGGGAATGCATTCAAGTTCTTTCTCACAGTGGCGTCCAGACCATCCTGTTAAACAAAATTACAAAGCAGATATGCAATTTTTTTTTCTTTTTTAAGATAGGGTCTTGCTTTGTCTCAGGTGCCAGCCTGGAGTGCAGTGGCACAATCTTGGCTCACTGCAACCTCCGCCTCCTGGGCTCAAGCAACTCTCCTGCCTCAGTGTCCTGAGTAGCTGGGACTACACGCACATGCCACCTTGCCCAGCTAATTTATTTTTGGATTTTAGTAGAGATGGGGTTTCAATATGTTGGCCAGGATGGTCTTGATCTCTTGACCTCATGATCTACCCGCCTCGACCTCCCAAAGTGCTGGGATTACAGGTATGACCAACCATGCCCGGCTGCAATTTTTTAAAATAATAAAAACAGTTATGTTAATAGCTTATATTTATTGGCTTTTACTATTTGAAATAATTATGCTAGGTGTTTTGTACAAATTGCCTCAGTGTATCTTCATGATCAATCTATATCTATGTATGTATCTATCTATTTATCTGTCTATCTATCTATCTAGCTAGCTATTGAGGTGAAGTTACCCTCTTGTTGCCCATGCTGGAGTGGAATGATGCGATCTCAGCTCACTGCAACCTCTGCCTCTCAGGTTCAAGCGATTCTCTTTCCTCAGCCTCCCAAGTAGCTGGGATTACAGGTATGTGCCACCACACCTGGCTAATTTTTGTATTTTTAGTAGACACAGGGTTTCTCCATGTTGGCCAGGCTGGTCTCAAACCCCTGAACTCAGGTGATCCACCCACCTTGGCCTCCCAAAGTGCTGGGATTACAGGCATGAGCCACTGGGCCCGGCCATCTTCATGATCATATTTATCAGGTAGCTATTATTCTATCTCTATTTAGTTCATGAGAAAATTAAACTCAGAGAAAATAAATAACTTGCTGTAAAATCATACAGTTAAGTACAAATAAAAGCGAGTACAAGTACGATAAGTCTCAGCTCTTATTCGTGGTGCCATTCAACATTGCATATATAAATGTCTTTACCTATTTTATGTTGGAATAAATACATGGAAGGCAATAGAATAAGGACACTTCATAATTCCCTTAATATTATTCTTAAATTCTGAAGAAAGCAACCACTATGGATATCTAGATACAAAATGTTTTTGTAATACTTGTAGTATTACTGTTAGTATTTGTTACAATGTGGTTCTTTGGAATATAAATATGGTATCTTTGTACATTTGGCCATTGGCTGTAAAAATTCTCCTTAAACACGACAATCTAATTTTCCATACCAAAATGTAATTTGATTGTATGTATTTTGTTTGGCTTTTGCTAGTCAAACATTTCATTATTTTCATCATCAACCTATTGGCCAACATTGCTAAGTACTCTATAAGCTAATATCTCAGCTATAATTTACTGGGTACATACATATCAGGAACACTTTTTGAAACCATTGATTCTTTCCTATCAGATAATTACTTCTAGCGAATCTTAATATGCCTAACATGCTATCCACAACATCATGTTAACTTAAATATACCCTACTACATAGGGACAATGGGTCTTCACAGGCAGTTCTCACTGCTCACTGACTAAATATGATCACCGTAATTACAACTTCTTAACTTTTATTTTCTATGTATTGTCTATTAGCATTTAATCTGAACCCTGGCTGTTGGGAAATGTAAAACTTATCATTCATACTTAGGAAGATATTCTGATTGTTCTCCCCTGATAAATTGTAACAAAACAATTAAATACATATTTTGAGGTAATTAGAAATGATTTACTGAAATATTGCATTATAAGAAAAAAATAAGGCCAGACTTTAAAAGACATGGCAACGTCCACATCAAGCTTGGAAATAGCTGCCAAGAGACTAAATTTATCAAATCCTCATCCAAGACTCTTTCCACTTTTCCAATGCTCTTTCATATGCTGAGCTGATTCCACTGGGAACTCTACTAAGGAGGCTATAAAAGTTTATATGGAAAAAACCATCTTTGCAGGGTTTATAAAAAGCCAATATGACTAGTCATTCACATAGTTGAGTCTCACAAACATATTATTGAGCATAAAAATATATTCCATAAAAATACACCCTGATAAATGTGCTTATAAAATTCAAATGCATATGAAACTTAATAACATTGCTTAGAAATGCATATATATATATATATATATATATATATATATATATAAAACTCTAAGGAATACTAAGCAAATGTTGAATATAAAATTCACAGTAGTTACTTCAGGGAGTGGTATGTCCCTGGAGGCATATAGAGGAAGTGAGAATTATTGCTAATATTCTATGTCTCAGAACATATGGTGTTATACACATTTATTACAGTTTATATTTTTATGTATCTTCTTTTGATTGAATAAAATATTTCCAAATATATTTTAAGCAATTAAAATGATGACATAGTTTTTCTTTTGCTTCTTATACTGTGAAGAACATGACAAACCTTTAAACCATAAGATGGGAATTGTAAAAGAAAAATTGCACTGGACCAGTTATACAGACAAGGAAGACTTTATTCAAGAGCACTGAAATAGGAGACAGAGACTTTTACAATAGGGGAGAGAGCTTGCACTCAATCTCACTAAAATAAATGGCAGCAGGAAGATTTTTAAAGGCCCGGTGAAGTAACAGAAAAGTACTGGGGGGATGTTTGTGTGGGTGGGAATTTGGTCAGTGTGGTTAGGCCACCTGTACTTGCTGACTGTCTCTTACTGAGGTTAGGGTTCTACTCTCCCAAAGAGACTGCAAAATAAGGGCACTATTTGTCACCTTCCAGGGTTACATTTTGTTTTGTTTTTCATTGTTGTTGTTGTTACTGCTGTTTTGTTTTGTTTTTGAGACAGGGTCTCGCCCTGGTGCCCAGGCTGGAGTGCAGGGGTGTGATCACAACTCACTGCAGCCTCAACCGCCTGGGTTCAAGCAATCTTCTTACTGCAGCCTCTGGAGTACAACATTACATTTTTAAGGAAAGACTTCCTGGTCCATGAGAAACAGCCTGAGAGAAGATATACATCTCAAAGAGACAGAGAAATAATTTACAACTACAAGTTTTCTAAAGTAAATGCTCTAAGGACAGGGAGATCGGGACCTATAGTCAGGAAGAAGTCTGTTTAAAGCCTAGTCAAGCTGAGAAAAACATTAAGGCTGTCTTGGTCAAAGACAACAAACAAGGATATAAAATAAGTCAAGAGACATTCCGTCCCCTGAGCCAGGATTAGGAAGATGAGAAATATTAAAGCACTATTAGAATTTTTGAGTTCAAGAACCCATTGTGCCAATCCAAGGAAGGCTGATTACCAGGAAGCTGCCAATTCAATGCACCTACACACTGAATTAATGACTCTACAGTGAGATCTGTTGCAAAGAGCCACATATTTCCATGACTGTTTTAACAGAAAAATCTACTAAGATACCCAGAAATGGTCTCCATCAGAGCCTTGAGATTTTAGGTATGTTTATTATTGGTGGAACTCAATAATATTTGCAACTCCAGCTTTCAGGGAGTCTGGAAATTGCAGCTTTTAATACTTTTGCCTCTGTAGTACAGGAAACCACATTAGATGGGAGTGGATACTGAGTGTCAATCATACCCATTAGTTTGAAGAAATACATAAGATGAATAGGTGCTTATACTGGTGTAGGACAATGTAATGGTAAGAAATTAGACCAGAATAACAAAATATAAATCAGCCAGATTAATACTTATTAGATAAGAGTTTTTTTTTTTTAATGTTCAGAAACAAAATATGTTATCTCTTCAGTCTTACGTAGCTTTGATTTTCATTGTTAACAAGGTAACCAAACATTCAGAAAATGGTTTGGTAACTGAAGACAAAAAAACAAAAGCTGTCATTAGCAATCTAGTAAAAGTAATCAAATGATTATGGTGTTAAACTCATAGTATTAATCTAATGTCTGACACATAAAATAAGCAAGTGTGTAAGGAATAAATGATTGAAAATAATGGTGGTTTAAAATAAATAAAACTTTAGGTGACACATTGTAACAAAATTAGAGTAAGTTTTTTATTTTTATTTGTTTCAAGACAGTCTTGCTCTGTCACCCAGGCTGCAGTGTAGTGGCATGGTCACAACTCACTGCAACTTTAAACTCCTGGGCTAAAGTGATCCTCTCCCACTTCAGTCTTTCAAGAACCTAGGACTACAGGTGGCCACCACCATGCCTGACCATTTTTTATTTCTCTCTCTCTTTCTTTATACACACACACACACACACACACACACACACACACATATATTTTACCTATGCAACAATCCTGCATGTTTGCACATGAAATGCAGAACCTAAAGTGCAATAATATATAAATAAATATATAGGCACATACATGGCAATGTGGTTTGTGGTTTGCTGCCTCCATCCCCATGACCTATATCTGGCATTTCTCCCCATGTTATGCCTCGCCAAATCCCTACCTCTGCTGTCCCTCCCCTAGTCCCTCCAAAGAGACTCCAGTTTGTGATGTTCCCCTCTCTGTGTCCATGTGTTTTTGCTGTTCAATACCCACCTATAAGTGAGAACATGCGGTGTTTGATTTTCTGTTCTTGCATCAGTTTGCTGAGAATGATGGTTTCCAGATTCACCCATGTCCCTACAAAGGACACAAACCCATCATTTTTTATGGCTGCATAGTATCCAATGGTGTATATGTGCCACATTCTCCTTGTCCTATCTATCATTGATGGGTATTTGGGTTGGTTCCAGGTCTTTGCTACTGTAAACAGTGCTGCAATGAACGTATGTGTGCATGTGCCTTTATAACAGAAAGATTTATAATCCTTTGGATATATACCCAGAAATGGGATTGCTGAGTCAAATGGAACTTCTATTTCTAGGTCCTTGAGGAATCACCACACTGTGTTTCACAATGGTTGAACTAATTTACACTCCTACCAACAGTGTAAAAGTGTTCCTATTTCTCCACATCCTCTCCAACATCTGTTGTCTCCAGATTATTTAATGATTGCCATTCTAACTGGCGTGAGATGGTATCTCAA